ATTCGGAACGTTCACACATATTTCTGCTCGTCGCGGCTCGATACTTCCTACGTAAACAAAAGCAGCGAAAATGGCCGACCATCCCAGGCGGTACCGCCGTCGATCTCATCGGTGGCTATTAACACGCCGATCGGGAATGCCGATTGAATCGGATCGAACGATGTCCCGCCGTCGGCTGTCGTATTATCGCCGCGTTAACGTTCGATAATAACGTAACGATCTGCAAGTGGAACGAGCCAGTGAGTACATTTACTACCATTACAGGACGAGGTCCATTCATAAAAATCATCCGATGTTGCTAAGAGGTTTTGTTCATCATTCGTGGCGACAAATGGGACCGCTGCCAGTCTCCGTCGCAAGGTTACGATATACGCGTACGATACGTGTTCGATTGACGTTTTTCTAATGCAATACGTTTATATTCATTTACGTCGTATTCAAGTTTCAGACTGGTTTGTTCGCGAACAATTTGTTAACAACCGGCGCGTTCATCATGCGTGAAATTTCGCCGTTGAAAATATTAGAGCCGTGTATCTGTGTATATCGTGCTCGATTCCTTCGAAACCGACTCTGTAAATGTACTTGGCCATTTAACAATGAGAACAATGCTGACATCGCGTGCGGCAATCGTGAACAATAATTATCTTTTCAGTGTAGAACTTTTCCAGGCCTATCGATTCACACGGGGCTATCCGTTTGCACTAAAAGCTTCGGTTCGATTTATGGAAATTAGATTTACATTCAGCCTGCCTGTATAACTCCCTATGCATCGTATATGCCAGCAAGTTAACGACCTTTTACACGTAAGCGTTTACCTTTATTGTAAGTGTAATGCAACTTGCATTTTGATTTGTAAACGTACTTAGATTGCATCTGACTTATCGAAGTTTCTTTTACATTCCGTACAATAATCCGTCTCTCAGTTCGTCAGATTTAATAGGAAACCTTTTATCTTTTCCTCGATAACACGAAATTCAAATATTAATTAAATTTTGAACTTATAAAATTACTCGCTGCTTTATTTCTAATTAGAGAATCTAGGATAATTAGAACAATAATTTCAGAAAGAACTGTGTGATGTAACAATAAGGTATCTAGAATAAGACATTGTATTTTCACGGATAAAAATTAAGTTGAAAATAATTTGAACATCAGGGTGTCCCGAAGTTAAACGGCCAAACTGCGAGGATTTGACTCTACACATAAAAAGAAGAAAAATATTATATAAAATTCGACATCAAACTTTGTCATAAAGTTATGAACAAATATTATATACATGAAATATATAAGTAACAATGCTATTTTCGGCACATTATGTGTTAACAATTTTGTATCATGAATCATGATAATATGATAAAAAATAATTTTTAATTCTATCAAGCTTTATATCAGTGAATAATAGAATTAATAACGCAATAAAATTCCTGAGAATTTTGCTGAGTTCCAATAAAGTTAAGTTTTTAATTCTTTGCGCTAGTTCTTCATGTGAAGCTATTTCCATTTAATAAATCTTTTGCTTTAAAGTATTCCATAAGTAAAGATCAAATGATAAAGAAAAAGCTATCCATTTCATGTATACATTTGTTTATAACTTTGTAACAAAGCGTTTGCTTACAAACTTTATATAACATTTTTTTTTCTTTTTTTTTTATGTATGGATCAAGCCCTTGGAGTTTGGCCATTTAAATTCGGGATACCCTGTATGTTCAAGCTATTATCAATTTATACATAAAAATTCAATGTTATTCTACTTACTAGTCTAGTAACTTATTGTTACATCATGAAGTTATTGTTTCTTCACAAGTCGTTATTCTAATCACAGATTTCCTAATTAGAAACAAAGCAGTGAGTAATTTTCTAAGTTTAAAATTTAATTAACGTATGAATTTTATGTAGAGAAATAAATCTTGTTAATTGACTAATTGAAAAACGAATTATTATTGAATGTGACATGAAAAAAACTTGTTCCATGCAATAATGAACTATAAAGTTCACTGAACGATCTCCATATATATTATTGGGTATTCAATTTGTTTCATGACCGTAGGAAGTAAAAATATTTTATATAAACATAAAGTAGTTAAAAAGCTTCTAGCGTTTTAAGAAACTTTTAAAGAGTCCAGTTTTTTTTTAAATTTTGCTAATTTATCACTTGAATTATCAATTTTTAAGATATAATAATTCTATCATTTAGAAATTCTCTATTTCTAACATATATTTTATTTCTTTTTTTTTATTAGAAAGAATTATTATTATTTTTTTTTTTTTATTGTAAGAATTATTCTTAGTGAAATAATCTGGCTACAACTATAACTAATATGTTAATATGTTATAACAAAAGCAAGTAAATCTTAAGAAAGTAGTATTTCATTTTAAAATATTCACTATTTCATTTTAAAATATTCACTATTTTTATATATATTACATGTATGATTGACAGTTTTACAAAGTCGTATTTCAGTTTGTGTCAATAATGTGCGAATCATCAATTATGATAATTTATTGCGCATATTACTTCCTATATTACATTTTGTTTGAAAATTCTCCATAATAAAAGGTTAGAAACATAGGTATAATTTGTATATCAAAATACTATACAAATCTTGCTTTTCTTTTAACAAATAAAAAGATTTCTAATTTTTTTATCAATCATACAAACGATGTTTCTTTCCTCCCTCAAAAAATGAAGTCCTTAGTTCTAATAACACAAAGCATTGCCTCAGATAATGTAATTTTGTTTTATTTTTTTATTCGAAAACCATACAGTTCAATGACCTATACATAATTTATAAATAAAATATACGTAGATTTATATATATTAGAATATATAAATAAAATATATACGTTCATATGTATATAATTATTATTATTATTATGATTTTAAAATATCACTAAAATTTTAAAATGTCATTAAAATTAGAAATAAATAATTTAATTAAAATTGGAAAATTACAAACATCGCAGAAAAATGTTATAACAATATAATTTATGAACCAACTAACTAATTAACTAAATTTTAATTAACTTAATTTTCTTCATTTTTTTGATTTTAATATCACCTTATAATTAAGCAGAAAAAATTTCAATGCAACCGAATACAATTGAAAATGGGAATAACCTGTTAGGCCCAAAAATGCAGAATATGAATTTTGGATAATAATGAAAGTTCGAATTTATTCCGTCATAAATGTAACATATTTTTTTTCCTGTGATCTTCACTTGTATCTGTAAAACGCGCGAATAAAGTTCGACCGGAAGAATGTGGTACACCCCGTATATCACTATAGCATTATATCTTATTTAACATCAATTGTCTATTACCCTTCATTCGTGTTATAACTGTACCGGATTAGTATGACTTACGCTTTAAGGTTACACAATTATAATATTCTCGGTAATCGGGAAATCTGATAAAAATAATATTTTAAATCTAATGTTTATGAATCTACAAATTCCACGGAATTAGGAAGAAACTTTGTACATACTGCTTGTTAGGTTGTGTAACAAGTTCATTTACTTATTGGTGTTACATCTTTAGGAACAACCTTACTTATCTTACGTTATCTACATGTAGACAAACATTGCTTAACATTTCATTAAATTTTAATGAAATTTCAAAAATTTTCAATCTCTTAATGTAAAAATTTAAAAAAAAAAGAACTAAAAAATTTAGAAACACAGAGAAGTTTATTCAGAATCTGATTCATGGGATTATTCATAGTATCCTTAAAAATAGGTAATAATCAGTAATGATGGTACAAAATAATAGTACTAAGATAATATTGAGAGATATTATACTTAGCCAGAAAGCCAGAAAATCAACAAAAATCGAGTTGGCTATATTTTTCTTATGTAATCTCTTTATATAAAGTGTAAATAAGAGAATCAAAAATATCATTCAATAATATCTAACAGGAAATATTATATCACTGCAAAAGATTACCAGTAATACTCAGCCACGAGTCTTGATAAAATACAAAGCTTTATTTCCTCTTTCATAAGAGATATTTGATGTCCTCTTCATTCCAATATACATAACATAATATTTGAATATTCTTACCTTGTTCCACTAATTGTAATTTAACTATAGTGTTTTACACGCGGGAATTCGAAATAAATTATAAAATAACTCGTTTTTCAT